TTTTTTTTTCAACTTTAAGGATATCTCATGCATGTTGTTAGTCAATAAAGCACTCTTTCTCACTGGAGGACGGACTCCACTTACTATAGGATTAAAAAATATCATAAGATAATTGAGAAGTTGCTACTTTGATAGAGTTGTTATTTAGTCATATGATTCCAACTGAACTATGTAATCGAGTCATCACTTAGACATGAAAAATTTAGGAATGAAAGTCTTTTTAATTCACTGGGATTTAATTAAGGCTGAATTCAGTTAAGAGTTCTTCAGTGAAGAAGTAGTACTGAGAATCATGTGAGATTTAAATTTTTCTCATGTCAGATATTTTTATACTGTAGAACCGATGTGAACGAACAAAGAAGCATCCAGGGAAAACCCACGCCCCTTGTAATCTCCGCTTTTCCTCAAAGTCATTAGAGCCCTTCTTAATGTTATAGGCACTTAAAACAGCTTCCAATTATTGACTAACATACTTTAAGGAGATAAGCGAAGAAACATTTCAAGAACTTACATTCCTAGAATATCCAAACTCATCGTGCAGATTAAGATTTTGAAAACACTGTAGCAATTTCAGGTCACTGAGATCACCTGGGATTCGCTATTTTGCTCGGTTAACCCAAAATTTGTAGCGTTCATAACAAAAGGTGCTGGTGGTCCGTTTATGGTGATACCCATCAATAAGGTAATGTTATAAAAACTTTTCTTCTAGTAATTTCGTTTTTTGTCTGTTATTATTTTACCATCTATATGAATCTCTGATTTGTTGAAATTCATTCCGTCTTACCTTTAAATTTTACACATTTTCCATCTCAATCAATAAAGGCAAGCATTCAGCCCGCCTGTGTTGGTGCTGTGCATTACAACAAAGCGTATGCTGTCGCAGCACCACAACTCTCCGTCTCCTTTTCAATCTCTCTGCGAAATCCCAGTCGCTCATTTTTGTTAGATTTACTATGCAAACCTGATATTCGCAGTTGTTTGCCTGTTGCCAAAAAAGTGCGAAAGTGCATGTGGAACGACTTCGCCGAAGTTGGTGGATGAGCTATGTTCTTGTTGCGAAAGCTCGAGGTTACGGAGGGGGCTGGCTGCAGTTTCCGACTTGACATATGTCTGCGAGGGCGTCAAATCTTCTGGTGGACAACAAATTATCAGGGAGACATAGAATGCTGGGAGTATCCTGTCGAAAAGAAACAATTTAGCATAATCTGAGCGTATCATTCACCGAACGTATAAAGTTTGAACAGATTCTGCAGGAATTCATCTGTTCCATGTGAGATTGATCAAATCTTTTTACCTCAATGAAAGGTTTGTTCGTTTTGTGCAGAGACCAAAATTCTGCAAAAAAATGTGCATTTTGGTGATAAATACTGAATGGCTAAAATTCTCCGTATTTTTTGGTTTAATTTTGCAGTCAGAAGATTTTTTTTCATCCTCTATACAGGCAGAACTCTTATTAAGAACACAAAAGTGAAGCCGCTTGCACCAAAGTAATTATACGCCTCAATTGACGAAATTTGCAATGATTTTTACAAAGTCAAAGACATTAACATTCTTTGCTTCCATTACACAGTTAGTCCCTAATAGTAAATTTTAATCTTTTTGTGGATTCCCCGGAGGCTGAGAAATGTCACCTTAAAGTTGTATGTAAACATGGATTCATTTTTAGTCCATGGTGGTTTTTTTGGCACTGAAATTCGATGTCTTAGCTGTGATCTTAGATTATTTCGAGTCCTAAATGTATTCGACTTCTCTCAGTATCCGACTTCGACATAATTGGCATCTCTTTTGCGATTGCTTCTTTTCCCACGAATAACTATTCAAGGTGTTACAATACGAATCTGGAGAAGATTCTACATTTTGAGAGGCGTACTGGCCGGCAGCCGCTAGCAAAACCGGTCCGCTGTTTGCATTGTCACAATGAAGTCTAGTTGACAGTTGCGAGGGAAGCGGGAAGAGTTCCGTGGAACGTCCTATCTTTTCAGTCTTGTTATAAATGCGACTTCATTTTTCAATCGCGTTGGATGTTATTCTCAATATAAATGCGTACTGCGCAATTATCGAAGAAGAGGACTACCATAACCTAGTTGAGCAGCTAAAATAATCCGATTTCAAAAGTGCGAAGGATAATATCAAGGACCAAAAATTCTAATTGGGGAAGAGGGGAAAAAAATTTGGCGTTGTCCATATATTAAGATTAAAAAATCGACATTTGAGAAAAATTTCCTTATAACGTTGTCAATGGACAGAGTATAAGTTGATCATCAATATTAATCTTTTGCGGGAATTTGTTTCTTTTCAAATTACGTCTTTGGCGGCTCCTTTCTTTGTATCAAAGTACCTCTTCTGATTGTGGGACCTTTCACTTATCCTTATCTTTGGTCTAAAGGTCTAAGACCCGTACATTAAAGAAAACTAGAAGTGTTTTCCAATCATTCCTGCCTTCAACAAGTTTTACGCGAAACTCTGAGGGCTGTGCTTCGAACAAAAAAACGTGGCATATTATATTTGTAAAAAAAATCTACAAAGACTGGCAAAACTTCATTGTTATCCAAATCTTTATAGGTTGGTCGAATTGACAAAGACTACCCGTTCGTGGATGCCCACAAAGGTGCATGCTTGGAGGTGGCATGGAGCCCGTTTAACGATAATGTAATCGCTTCCTGCTCCGAGGACACTACATGCAAAGTATGTGTGCACTTAATTTGATTACTCGAACACCATAGCTTTCGAAGGTTTTCCCTCGATTGATATGAGCTATGACAAACAATCTTCGTCATGTTCCTATTTTCTGGACGGTGTTGTAAACTCAGAGTACTTTAAGCACCATGAGTGCATTGCGTGGGTTGTCACAGATGGTGCCCATACTCCTCAAACATTTTGTAGTACACATGTTGCATTATAAATTCCATATAGTTTTCAGTGTAGTTTCTATATAGTTTAATAATGTGACTGATTTAGGTTTGGCTGATTCCGGACAAGGGCCTCACGAGAACTCTCTCCGAACCAGTTGTTGAACTCAATGGACATCAAAAACGAGTGAATACTTTGGCATGGCATCCTGTTGCTAACAACCTTTTACTCACTGCTGGTAAGGATCTTATACGTTTTTTATCCCTATTTTCTAAACATATAATAAGCCTGGATTATCCATGGTTACGTGATTCATCACTCATGATACCAGGTTGGCAAGTATAACGGTACACTGTATCGATTCTACTCCTTCCACTCAGAACAACAAGAGAACTGTTTAGAACAAAAAAATTATTGGATATGGCTAAATATCAATAACTTAAATGTAGGGACAATCAATGCAAATGAACTCTAATAAAGCACTTCTGAACTATTTCGAATAGATGGGCGTACGGAAGCAGCTCTAGTGGTTGTCATTATTTTTT